TGCCTCTCGGCCGGCTCACTCAGCCTCCCAGCCTGCAGCTTCTGCGGGGTTAGCTCTCTACTTTTGCAGTGTGGGCTGAAGGTGGGGCACTTTTTCATTTTCCATCTATAGCGTCTTGCAAGACCGGCCAGCATGCATTGTTTTTTTTCTTTCTTTTTTTGCTCATAAGTGATGAACGCAAACACGCTGCAGTTTTGTGTCTAATGACGCCAACCGCACTCACTCTCCACATGCTTTGTTCTCCTTCAAAGTTACATCGCCCTTCTTAAAAAAAAAAACAAAACAAAAAGAAAAACAAACGAGACATAATCGACTTTCCCTTCCAGTTTGAAGAGGAGCTTGAGACACGCCAAATATCTTTAAACCACAGTCTTTCAATGAGGAATTCAAAACATGAGGAACTCTCGAGGTTTAATTGTGCAAATGCTCGGAGACAAGAACACATCTAAGCGCACAGTTCTGCGAGAGCAATGAGCCACAGACTTCAATCAGCATGCTGCTAATTAACCGAGCAGAACAGCAGAGCTTTAAGGCCTGCTGTGCCTTTCCGTCTTCTGTCTGATGAGAAGCTTTTTCTGACGGATGTTAGAGCTCTGTCAGCTTTTCCTCTCTGTTTTCAGCTTGGAGTAAATGCAAACATACAGGAGGGAAAATACAGTTTTCACAGAGAATCAATTTAAAATGTAAACCCTAAAAGTTAATCAATGCAAAGCATAACTTGGGTGTCGCACCATCGTCTGCTTAGGATAAATTAATTGGTAAATGATCAGAGTGACACGGCCATGCTGTATCACTTCCTACAATACAAAGAGAGGGGCAGGAAGATAACATGTTTAGGAAGCTAAAACAAAATAACTGTTTTTTGTATTTGGAATATGAATAATAAATCCATATAAATCCAAAAGTTGCTTGAATGTTCCAGCTTTGTGGTCAAACGCAGGATAAAGACATACCAGATACAATCCAAAGAAGTAATTTGAATGACGTTGGCTGTTCTGCCAGCCTAAGCTCTCGGGGCAGAGCCGTCCAACGTGAGGCCGGCTGCTGGATGTGGTCACTATTGGACTAAAGCCTAAAAGGGCCTCTCAGTGTTTCGCTGAGTGAGTCTCGACAAACAAGGAAAGTCTCTTGATTCGAATTTTTAATCATCTTTAAAGATGTATGAACTCTCTATCTTGCTTAAATGTATATTTTCAGTTAAAATGTTATTCTGCTCACTTTTTACTCACTAATATATTGTTACACAAATGCAAATGAGGAAATGAGAGGGATTTTGTTGAACATCAAGTCCTACGAAATCTCTGAAGTGTGTGTGAGGCTTCCGATGCGCCCCGTACTGAAAACTTGAAAATGTATATTGGGATCAGGGGTGTGGTATTTGTTCCTTATTTAAGAGTCAAAATACTGTTTTGGGTATGAAGTATTAGTGCTCTGTCACCGTCCCAAAGAGTCAAATAATTATTATATAAACTAATCAGAAGGTAGGTTAAGCTCTCAGTTTCTCCTTTAGATTCAGCAGCGATTGGATGGAAAAGTGTGAGATTAGTTAATGCTATTATTGGATCATTTCTGCGACATTTGAGTTTCAGTTCATTTTTAAATATACGTAGTGATGCATCACTCATGCAGGACAAGTTTTTGACATGTCCACAGTTCATATAGTGTGACAGAGTCACTAGGCTGAATGATCCTAAGTGTTCAGAAACTAAAACAAAAGTATTTTATTCACTTTATATTATACCTTGGCACTAAATCAATTTGTTAGCTTTTAAACCATCCAAGCTCTAATATGTTTATTAGTTTATCAGCTCATATTATAGTCTAGTTTTCTAGTTCTGTTTCAATATTCAATATATCATTGATATCCATTGGTGTTTGTATACTGTGTGTCTGGATTTCATTTATTTTGAATTAGATTTCGTTTTTATTTCTGCAGTGATGTCATATTGTAACTATTTCATTTGAAATGTGAAATTCCTTCAAACAAAATATCATGTTAGAGCAACACCAACGTGCAGCAACATAACTAAACTTTGTGATCCCAAATTCTACATGAATATTTTGAGAAGCATGACTTGTTCAAAGCTCAAGCAGCAGTTTTCAAAAATATATATTACAATATGTAGCGTTACCCCTGGAGACAAGCAGCAGGTCCTGTGTGGCCCTCCAAAAACACATGGATAGAGACAACTGAGGACAATTTATAATGTGGTTTTCTTCACATTAACCATCAGATGAACCACAGTGCAAAACTGTAAATATTAAAGCTCTCTTGCACTATTTATTTTGTGATTTATGATTTATCAAACAGTCGCTCAACTAAAAACATGAGCTTAGACAAAAAGAAAAGAAAAGAAATTTGAATTATAAAAGTGAATTAGACCCTTGTTCAGTGCACAAAAATCTTCCACTTTAGAGCCTGAGAGCTCTGCTCCTTTAAGGGTCCTGAATAAAAAAACATTTCAAACAATTACATAACAGCACAAACGATGATTGCATGACACATGTGCTGCAGCTCCTCCCAAAAGGGTGGAGGGGGAGCAGGAATGCACTGGATTATCAACGAGGAGGAGCATCTGGTAATGGCATCCTCATAATGGTTTTACTCCACAAGCAGCACATGGAGTGAAGCTGCAGCGAAACCTGACATGTGTCCAACAGATGCTTAACATGAGGGGGAGTAAAAGAAAAAAAAAAAAGTTATTCATTTTGTGACAAACAAGGACATGTTTGGAAATGTAATTAAATATATTCTGAATGTTTTCTTAGCACATTAATTAAATAAACATCCAACAAAAAAAGCCTCACATAACTGATGTTTTGTTGAAAAGTGGTTAAAACTAAACTAAGAGTATTACTTCCAAAATATTTGTCTTATTATAGTTTATGCACATGTTGAAATTTGTAAGAAGTATATGGGAACAAAAGCTTGAACTGAACTATATTGAAATATGCTGCATATGAGCACAGAAAACAATAGAACAGCTACTAAAGGAAACTGTAAATACTACAAAGATGCCAAATGAGACAAAATATATTAGAAATTTACATTTTTGTTTGTTTTTATACCTCTTTTTTTTACAATATCTTATTGTAAATTTGTGATTGTTGATTAAATGTTATTATTATATTTAAACTGTTAGTAACATTATCTATTGGATTAAATGTAAGAAGGCATGACCAGAAACAATAACTGTTGGTTGCCCCTTTGCAGTAAAGGAACTCTAATTTGGACAAATATAGAAGTGGAGTTCAGCACAGAGGAGAAAACTCATGAAAAGATTTGTTCTTTGCTAAATGTGTGCAAACCTGAGTTTGTACGTGCTTCTTATATTGAAACTAGACACAAAGGAAAATCTTGAACTTAAAATAGCCACGCTGAGCAAACATACTCTCTGTACTGACAAAACGTATCCATATTTGTGCCAATGAGAAGCTAAAACAAAGAGAGAATAAATTCAGTTAATTTCTGCCTCTGTAAATTGCATCTGTCCAGAAGAGTCACTGTTTTCACTAAAGTTTAGAGGGGAGGAGTTGTCCGTGTCTGTGTGAGCATTCCTGAGCGTCACTAGAGTAACAATCCCAGCCAAAGTGCTGCAGAAACTTGCAGAAATAAGAGTATATCGGAGCGTTAACAAGATGGCACCGAAGCGTCTTTTTTTTCTTCTTCTTCTTCCACTGGATCACCTGGCAGGTTGGAGCGGCTCCAAGCTGCGGTTACAGACTACAACATGCCCGCTCCGTGCAGAAGAAGAAACAATAAAAAAAAAAAAAATCAATGCTTTGCAAGTATGAGATGGAGAGGATGGAGGACAAGGTGTGTCCGACGCCAAATCCATGCAGCTCAACAAACCCGCAGGTGTTATTGCATTAAAAACAGCCAATTAAAGCACACAAAGGGGTCACGTTTAAAGGCTCTCCGGCTCAGATTGTGTCCACTGACCTCAGGTGGATTACCGTGGAGTCCATATGTGACAGTTAAGCAAGCTGGCTCGCTGCACTGTTGAGCAAATGAAAAATGGGCTTGGCACAGGCGCACAGGCTGCTGACGGCCCACGCTGTCTGCGCTCTTAAATAAATGTCATTATATAAAAACACAAAAGACACACATAATCAATGCAGTCAGGTGGGGAACCGGGGGATAGGGGGTGTCGTGTTTTGCAATGATTAAGATGCAGAATTTAATGCATGTTTAAAGGTGAGGGAGGAAAAAAGAAAAAAAAAATGCATGAGAAACCATTCGGGCCCTGAGGTGCAAGAAAGAAGCGAAAGATCCAGAATAACGGGCAGCAAGGAAAGCAACGTGAACGGCTTCACTGCCTAAAATTCACACTAACGCGCTGAGCTCAAAGCAGACAACGGAGACAACAAAAGCACCGCGCACAGACACCAAACAGGAGTAAATATCACCGAAAAACATGACATCACTGTCCTCCTGAGACCTCGCAATAACAAGATTATAAATATTCCGGCGGATTAGCGCCGTTAGAGCGTTCAAGGACGGGGGACCTGCGCCGAGAAGGATGGTGGAGACGTTTTTATTTGATCCCTGCGGGGAACGAGGAGAAAACACGCGAAATGCCGAGGAGCGACGATGGCTGCAACACAAACACGTTTCTGTCTTTATTGTGGGAGAGGATCGATGAGGAGGATGGAGACGGCGCATGGTGCACAAAAATAAAAACAACTGAAAACGTGTGAGACGAAAAAAAAAAAGAAGAAAAAGAAATAAAAAAACGCGGCTGCAGGAGACGCGCGGACAGACGATGCAAGAAAAGGCGTTTTTTAGTCCTGAGCGGGATGTTTCTGGCCGCAGAAACGCATGGAGGCCAAACCTCTCCCACCTCACACAAATATATTAAGTGACAAGACAAGGAATGCCGATGGAGAAAAGACGACGCTGCGTCCAGCTCGCGTCTGTGCCTCGGTCTTCGATCACCAAGTGATGACTCGCTGATTAATTCGGTGAAATGAAGGAAATGTGTCGGCGGTTTTCTTACCTGACAGCAGACAGCGGTGTTGTCTCTTCAGCGGCAGTCGCTCACCGGGCGCACACGCATACACACGCACACTCACACACGCACAGCTTCTCCGCGCAGTGCAGCGGCAGGCCGGACGGGGGCGCTGCGGAGCGGAGCCCAGTCCTGAAATGCAACCTGTCTGCTCACAGCAGCCATCTGCTGTCATGTAAATAAACACTAGCAAAGACATGACCTGTTTTATAGACAAAAATTAACTGCAGAACACAGGGGGAAAAAAAGTGTTAACAGAACATCTTATTTTGATTATAGGGTTAATGATGACTCCTACACGCAAACTAAAAGGCAATTTAAAAAAAAAAAAAAATTTAGGATAGAGCGGCAGTTTTATGTAAATAAAAACATGAGGAGTTTGGAAAACTGTCAACAGATGGTGGTTCTCCAAAGCATGAACGCATCACAGGCCTCAGATTTTCATTTTGAAAAGCTGTCGGTTTTCCGACTGAATATTCCAGGCGTAAGACGTCATAAAATTCAACAACTTGAAATAGGAAGGTAGAAAGCATTTGTTTCCAAAAGAAAAAGAGTGAATATGTAGGACAGTAACAGTAGAGAGAAGCTGTAATCACAGACCGTCCTGCGTACAAAGGTCATGGCACATAAAACAATGCCTCCCTGTGTCAGCCTTCTTTTACTGCCCTCTCACAGCCTCACACAACTTTTACCACCAAGGAGAGAAAGCAACCATCTCCAGGGAAACAGTGTTGGAATTACTGACAGTCACATCTTTGATGCGTTGGCAGGATGCGACTCTTTGTGCCATCTCTCTCCTCCTCTTTTGGACATGTGCCCAGGCAACAGCTGCCACTGGCAGTGGGGCTGCAGATTATTTGGTTTTACCCTGTGGTGGGAGTTCACTGTGAGCCCGGTGCTGCGGCGAAATCATTGGCTTGGCTTTAAAATCCCTAAGTGGTCTGGAGCCGCACAGAGGAGCTGATTCATATGCACTGGCTTCACAACGATTTGACTGAAGCTAAGATGGAAATGTGGTTCTGCATGACATGGTGGTCTGTTTTTTTTTTGTTTGTTTGTTTGGGTTTTTTTTTAGGTTGGATCCATGGTTGACCTTGTTCACACCAAGGTCTGATTCTACATCATGAGATTATTGCAGCTGAAATAAAGATTCATTGGATCAGGCAATATTTTTGCAATCTGTTTCTGTTCAATGTTGGTGAGTCTTTGTGAATTATGATCCCAGTTGTCTGTTTTTTTTGCAGCTGTAGCTCATCTTCTTTAAAGTTCAAAATGTTGTAAATTCAGAGATTATATTTGGCATCCCTTGATTTTATTGAGTGGTTTGATTAAGTTACTGCTGCCTTTCTATCACTTTGATCCTCTCTGCCAATTCTCCTCTAACAAACAAGGGAATTTTGAACTGCACATATTAAAATAGTCAACATAAAGTTATTCCATTAGGAGTTTTTGATATCTCCTCTCAACAAAAATACTCTCTTTAGACAACAGCAGAAAATTTCTGCCTCCCTGACAATGTTGGATGATTTTATCTTGCACCATGCTTGTCACATTTGAAGCTTACAGAGGTTTTTCTTTAAAGCCTCTGTGGAAGACTTATGAATGGAAGAGACTCAGACATGTCTCCAGGCATGTAAACTGACTGCCCATCTGGCCCCATCAGTCTGAAGGAAGATGTTGTGTAACATCATTTATCTGGCTTAGACAGATGAGAAGTTGTGCTAAATCCTTTGGATTACTTTGAAATAACCACTTTTATTTTGAGGAAGCCAAAAACTTCTATTGTTTATCATCCATGACTGGATGCCATGATTATTCTGGATATTCACTAAAAGAGACAACCCTAAAGCAAGAAACGCTCATGGGAGGATTAGATTAATCATTTTCTGGTTAAATTTGCAGCTTCTTCCATTATTGTGATAGTTAAAGATATGTAAAAATATCTTGACGAAGAGGATGAAATTATTACAAGTATAGCTGCAATTTTCCATGTTGTTGTGAAGGTGTAGCGCTTGGTTGACTAAAAAAATCATAGATAGGAAAATATTATTCAATCCCTTTTAAATACATCAAAAAATACATTTGTTTGATACATTTTGTGTTAAAAGTTATTTTACAAAAAATAATTGTGTAATCGTTTTCTACAAAAGGCAGCCATACTTTTGTTTTTATATGGAAAATAAATCTATATGGAAATTATTAGATACTGTAAATGGTCAGGTAAGCAACCAGCCTACTTCAACGTTAAAATTATCATTTATTTAGGTGCATGACTAACCATGCTTTAAAGACTAAGTCTTTCTGTGCCAGTGAAGTCTCTCTTTAAATTATGCAGACATTCTTATTGGTGCTTATTTTTAAATGCATGCGCTTGTTGTACATTACTTATGATTTTATTTTTATAAAAAGAAAAATATATATTTAAAATATATATATATAAAGCTTTGAGGAAAAACTAAAGAAAAGTCGCTGCTGTGTCCTCCGCCACGATAGAGGGCGCTGTCTCGTTAGCGTTGCCACGTTGCTCAACCAATGACGTGGATTTTCATTGAGAGGCAGTCAGAGCTCCAAATATACAACTCTAACAGAGATTATTCTTCGATTGGCTTATATTTACACCCCGAAACGCTCGATTTCTGTCTCCTTTTTGTCATTATTGGACTTAGTTCTTCTCCGGCTGTTGTACCAGGTGAGCAGTCAGGTAAAGTGTTAAGATTTACTGTGTTTCCTGTTGTCTGCTTGTCAGGAGTGTGTGCAGTAAAACAGTTTGACTCGGTTCTGAATCTGGTGAACTCTGTTGCCGTGTTCCCTTCAAGACTGCAGGATGAGTAAACCCAAAGTATTAAACCTGAAGGATAAAATCAGCGGGAATGAGGCGGACCTGAGCCTGTGCAACCTGAGTGAAGTGCCAGTCAGAGAGCTCGTAAGTCACCCAGCAGCTTTTATTTAATCGTTTATCTGCGAATAAAACCTCAATTTATGGATTTACAGACTTAAATCCAGTACTCTCTTCCTGTGTTTTCCGATTATCTTATTATTTTGTGCATTCTTTGTAACCAAATCATCCATCAGTGCAACACACATCCATCATCAGGCATAACATTATAACCATCTTCCTAATACTGTGATGTCAATTGATTCTATTTTTGTTTGTATAGCCTTGGCCGTATGGAGTAATTGCTGAAACTGCAGATTTTTCTATTGGATTTAGGCGGTGCACTATTAGCCTTTTCTCTAAAATAATCATTTTAGCTATTTCCTTCTAGCTAACTAACCTGCCTCCCAGGTTAATGCATTTTTAATGCATTTTAGGAATGTTAATGCAAAAATGCATTATTTTTGTTAATGTTAATGCCACGTTAATGTTAAGACACCGCCTGTGTCTAAGCAGACACTAATGGAGGGCTGTGAAACGCTGCTCTAGCCTTTTCCCTATAACAATTTTAGCTATTTTTTTATTGATTAACAATGATTAGTATACTGAATGGAGCAAGTCAAAGTAAGACAACATGCTAGTGATACCCCACATGCCACTAATGTTAGCTTATACACTAATTTTAACATATTGAATAGAATAAGTCCATGTTAGTCCACATGGTTGTAATTCTCCACAGGCACAGGTTAGCAAAGCTTAACATAGTTGCTAATTTTTAGCATCAGAACACCTGATTTGGGTCCAAATGACAGGCACACTTTGATACGCCCCATTTAAATTTCTTCAGAAATTTTCTAGTATTACTTATTAATTTAGTGTTGAGGGTTTTTCTGGTAATGAACTGCCACGAAGCATAAATCAGATTTTTTATAATATATTTATAACAACAACAACAAAAAAAACAACCCTTTTTCATTTTTCTGCAAAATTCACCATTTGCACAATTCTTGTTAAGTAGTGTAAGATAAGTAGTATTTTAAAAGAGCAGAAGAAATCTTATGTTTTTTTTAACAATAACAGTATTTGTTATTAATTTCTTTTCTAAGGAGATAAGGTAAGGTAATAAGGTAATTTTATTTATATAGCACATTTTCAGCAACAAGGCAATTCAAAGGAGGCAGGTCTTTACTCGGAGCATGGTCCTAACTCGGAGGCAGGTCCTCACTCGGAGGCAGGTCCTCACTCGGAGGCAGGTCCTCCAGTTCAAGCAAATTCAAAAAGACCAAATCTTGGTATTTTTGTCATGCTTTCAGCACCAAGGTTTGTCTGCATTGGGAATATTTTTGTGTTCCCACATATGGTGCGTTGTGCATCCTCTCTGCTGGAGAGCGTCCCTTCAACACGACACATCCTGTTTCTGTTGACATCAGGCTTTATCTCAACAGCAGGCTTCACCTCAATAGCAGGTTTTATCTCAGGCTCTTCATTCTTGTCTAGGTCTTCGAAGTCTATTGATTCGATGTCTTCCAAAACTAGATCACCTTTATTCACATATGGATAGTATTTGTTTATGTCCTGGTCGTCAAAGACTACTGCGTCTTGGCTTTCAATGTTTTTTAGTCCATACTCAGAGGCCGTTCGCGACTCAGAGGCCGTTCGTGACTCAGAGGCCGTTCCATACTCAGAGGCCGGTCCCGACTCAGAGGCCGTTCCATACTCGGAGGCCGTTCGCGACTCAGAAGCCGGTCCCGACTCAGAAGTCGGTCCGGACTCAAGTCGGTTAGTTTGGTTGAAAAACTGTGCCAAGTTCTTTGTGTTGTGTTTGGTTTGCTGCCATAATTCTAATATCATTACATTTTATTTCCAGCCCCTTAATTCTATTTACAACTTACATTGCTGACAGCCTATCTCATAATCTAAAAAGCTTGAAAACGTATCATTAGAAAAACAAAAAACAGTGAAACTTACAAATGTTCAGAAAGAGAAATAGTAAACACTCCATGAAAGACGTAAACAGGCTGCAGACAATCAATTACATTAAGTAGTAAGTAGTAGTAATATTTCAAAAGAGAAGAAATCTTATGTGTTTTGAACAATAACAATATTAGTTGTTAATCT